CCCGCCCCCGCGCTGCGCTCCAGCAGCAGGCCGCCGCCGACGGCGGCGGCAGCGGCAGTGCCCCCACTGCTTACGCAGCCGCGGTCCAGGAGCTTTTGGTGTTGCTGCTCGCCGGCGGCATGCCCTGCTGCGCGCGCCTACTCATGCAGGCGGCGGAGCGGGCGGGGCTCGTGTTTGCGAACCGGCAGCTTGTGATGGGCGCAGAGGAGGCCGGCGCGGCGGGCGCGGCTGCGGCTGTTGGGCAGGGTTCGCTTGCGCATGCGTGGCAGAACGAGCAGCTGCGCCCGGTGCAGGAGGGCCGTGCCCACCCGTTTACAACGCCGCCCGCTGCTGCGCCGCCGACGCGGCCGCCGCGGCTCCTGCGGGTGCGCCCACCGTGCGGCGTCGCGGCGGCCCTCGACTCGCCGGTGACGCCGTCCACGCCCGCGGCCACAGCCACGCCCGCCGTATGGGCGGCGCCGCCTGCGCCCGGCAGGCGGCCCCTCAGCGCGGCAGCGTCCACTTTTGATGGCGCGAGCTCCAGCGTCGCTGCACCGACAGGCCCCGAGCTGTGCGCACCGCGGGCGCCTTCTGCTGCTGCGGCGGGGCCGTCAATGCCAGATTGGCAACCGGCCGAACGACGCGGCCTCTTGCGCGCCTGCCCGTGGGGCTTCGCAGACCCACCGGTCGAGGCCGCCTTTGCTGTATTCAAGTCTCAAGCTGTCTGGGGCCTGGCGGGCCCGCTACTCGTCTTGGAGGCGGCCGCCTTCGTCGCCCTCGGGCGCGACGCGCTGCACCCACGGCATGTCTTGGCGGCGCAGCTGCTGCCTGCCGTGGCCTTCCTCCTCCTCTTGCTGCTCTCAGCGCTTGCCCTGCTCTTATTCGCCCTCGCGCGCCGCGGCGGCGCGTGGCGCCGGGCCGCGGCGCGGCGGGAGCGCCTGGCTTGCGCCGCGCGGGCGGCTAGGACGATGGCGGCAGTGGTGGTGGTGGCGAGCGGGCGGCGGTCGCAGGGGCTGCTGTTGCCACGCCGGCTCCTGGATGCGGCTGGCGCGCAGACGGGTCGTATGATGTTTCATGCACAGGTGGGTCGATCCGCGGTGCGCGCGTTGAGTGATGGTGGCGTCTGGACGCGTTCTGGGCGCACCACAGCGATTTCCGTGTCTGGCGCGTGAGTCTAGTGGGACCGGCCGGCGGACCGAGGCAACCCAGCGGCCTGCGGCTCCAAGCGCCTGGTCTTCATAGGCGCGGCCGCAGAGCTGCATGTCCCCTGTTGACTCTTGTAGAATTTTGTTTTTTTGCCCGGAGGTACAATTCCCAGTCCACCTAATCAACCCCCTTGCCAAACCTTCGCATCAGGCAATCGTGGCGTCCGCGCTGCAGCTGAGCGCCCGCCGGTCGCTCTTCTGCGCGCTGCTGCGCGCCATGGAGCACGCCGCTGCCGTCGCTGCCGCTGCGGGCGCTGCGGGCGGGCGCCGCAGGGGCACCTACCGGTGCGTCGATGTCGCATGGTGGGCCCAGCACAGTCTCGTGTCAAGCTTGGGAGGCGTGGCTGCAGCTGCTGCAGGCGATTACCTGCTGAGGCCGCGATGGCTGCAGCAGCAGGAGAATCGTGCACAGGAGGGCGTGCTCGTGGCCACGAGCCCGCGCTTGCCTGGTGCGGGGCGCGGGCCCGCGCCTGCGCGGGGTGGCCCACACGCAGAAGGATAGTGATGCAAATCGAACCTTGTGCAGCACACGAATATACACACGCAAGGCACAGCCGCGGTCGCCACACTGACACTGGCCCAATGATGCCGGACCAGTGACTTGTCAACGGAGCACCCCGAGCGGTGCTCAATTGACGCAGACGGGTGCACTCATGACACCCCTTGCCTACCTGAGCGGCCAATTTTCAGAGCTGCAGCTCCATGTGAAGCCTGCCCCCCGCACCCCGCCTGCTGCCTGGTGCAAAAACCCCCAACACTGCTTGCCCTCAATCCTCACTCGTGCAACTCAACGCAGCTGTTGATTGGATTTGACACGCATTGATGGTCGGCTGTCAATTCACGCATGCCGCAGTTGTTGCAGCGCCGCTGATGTGTGTGCTTGTGGAGTTCGGCGCTTGATGTGCACATGGAGCAAACCGCCTTGTTTTCGTGCTGTTGGGTCACAGGCTGCTGTGATAACCGCCTGTGAACGGCACCATACTCCGGGGCCAAAGCGCTCAACCCATGCGCCTTGGATTGGGCCCCCTCCCCCATCCTGCTGTATGCCGGGCACCCCTCTGGGTTGCCCCCACTTGGGGGATCGATGCTACACGATACTTGACATAACCTAATCAGGCCTGATGTATCCAGGTCTCTGGCAATGCGGCCGCAACGCCCCAACCTCTCAGTCAGCAGATTGCCCCCAAATCAAAACCGCATATGCGCATGCTCACACCCAAGTGGGCGGCCTGCATTTCTGTTTGCAGGCTTGCTGCATGTGCATGCTTGGTTCACTCACAATTGCGGGTTTCAATGAGCAGTCTTGGGCCGCTAAGCATGGCCACTATGCACCCTGCTATCAGGTCCGTGCGTGTGTGACATCGGCAGCAGGTGTCTGGGCGCAAAACGTGGCGCAAGATAAAATCCCCAGCCTCTACTTATTTGTCAAGGTATTTATCAAGGGGCATATTCGCTTATTGATCGACCACAGGCAGAGTTAGCATGCGATTTGCTGCCTTACTGACCCTTGTCTCGCTTGAACGGCGGCACCCCGCCTAAATGCCGGCCGCTTGTACCTCACGCCCCCTGTTTCCTGCAAAGTGTGCTTTCCATTGGATGTTTGCAGAATCCCCATCCCGCAACCATTTTTCAGTATGGGCTTGCTTGTGGGAGGGATTGCACACTAGTCAGAGCGGTCGTGCGAACCCGCGGGCCTGCATGGTGATATTTGTTCCTGGTCAGCTTCCCTCTGGGTTGCCCCTGCCTTCCCGGTATATTTTTGCCTTTGCCTGAAATATCCAATGTCTTTATGGATGCTTGTGATGTCCAGCATCATAGGATGTATGTGGCCTTCGCCTGAATTGGGCAGGTGGAGGCTTGCAGATTTTCTTGCACTTACCATGAACAAATACCGCCGCGCGTGCATGCCAAGCAGTGTGACACGCCCCCCTCCCGTAAACAGAAATATGCGTCGAAAGCCGCCTTTTCAACCCAAGAATCAGCTTGACTAGAACATGAATAGATTCACAACCACTTGTCCTTGATTGCTTATCCACTCCAGCAGCGATTTATGTCACACTATTACCGTATGCAAGAGGATGGGCCATGTATGTTCCCAGCAGGCTTCAATGGGCAGGAGGGCGGCCCCGAGCAGCGACCCTGCAGGCAACAGCCCCCAAGTGACCCAGCCACTATTTGCTCATGTTGAGGTCAAATGATGGTGCACTCCCACTCAAAAGCGGGGCTTTCTAAGTGCGGGACCAAGGGGTACGAAGGGGGGGGGGGCTCAACGCGGCGCCGATGTGAAGGCTGATGATGATGTGGCTGCCTGGGTGAGATTTGCTTGCTAGTTGGGGCCCCTTTAGTCGTGTAAACCAAGCAAATCGTCGCGAAGAGCTGTCCATTGCAGCACGGAGAAGCATGTTCGGATGACAGGGTGTGAATGAGCGTGTTCGTGCTTGCGTGTGCGTGCGCGCACGCGTGCGAGCGTGCTATGTTTCATGCAGGGCCGCCAGCATCTCAACCCATCGCCACACCACACCCAGCACAACTGCTGCCGTCAGGCAAGGCCTTGACTTTCGTTGCGTGTGCGCCAGTTGCCAACCCACCGTGACACACCCACCTTTTGCGCCCTTCCACGCCTGCAACTGTCCTAACCAGCGGCGCGAGGGCGGCTGCGCGTCCTGCGCACATGCTGGGCTACTTGCACTCCTACACAGTTTGCATGCGAGTGGCTTACACGTGATAGAAGTGCCGCTCGCAACCTGAAAATGCGCAGGCGGTCCGCCAAGCGCGAGGCAGCTGATACAGGGTCACCGTCCACCGCCGACACAGATGTTGGGCGGGTACCCGGGGCAGGTATTGCGTTGCTGTTGGGCAGGGGGGGATGGCCTCAGCTGACCGGGGGCAGCTATCAACCCCAGGTGAAGGACTGCAGCGGCGGCGCCGCGGCCGTGTGGCGCTCCAGGCGCGCGCGAAAAGAAACATAAAAGCGACGGTCAAACAACTGCGGAAGGACGACGGTGCATTGGATACAGAGGCACGATATATGTGCACAAACAAGCCGCGTCTGCGGCAGCAACCAGCCGCGGGGAAACAGGAGCGCAGGCGGGCCGCAGGAGTTTGGCGGGGTGCTATGCCGCAGCAGCCTCACGCACACCGCGGCCCTCAGGCTTAGCGTGTGCCGATGGGCGCATGGAACCCACACCGCTCCTCTCCATCGCCTCACTTCTCCTTCTTCTCTTTCTTGTCCTTCTTCTTCTTCTGCAGAGGGCAAAAAAATGCGGCAGCAGGTGAGATTATTTGAAGGGCGGCAAGCCAGGCAGCGGGTCTAGCGCAGGGGAAGAGCAGGCGGTGGACGTAGGCGACGTCGCAACTCTTGCTGCGTCGCTCCTGCCATGTCAGCCTTCAAAAGCGGCAGCCGGCGTGCGGACCCCGCTGACATGCGACGCTGCCACTTAGTGGCAGCCTCGCGGTCGAGAGCTGACAATCCAGAGGATGTTGGTTCTATGGAAGCCGCGCTCACCTTCTTGGCGGGCTCCTCCTCGTCGCCGCCGCCGTTGACCGCCGCCGCGGGGGCCTCCTCGTCGTCCTCCGCCTTGCGCTTCTTCTTCTTCTCCTTCTTGCTGCTGCCGTCCTCCGCTGCAGGCGTCTCCTCGCCCTCCTTCTTCTTTTTCTGTGTGTGCATGTGTGTGTGTGTGTGTGTGTGGGCATGCAGGGTGTGGTGGATTTGAGCCAGGCGCTTGCGCGTGTGTGTGTCATGTGGCGTGTGTGTGTGTGTGTGTGACAGTTGTGTTGCGGTTGTGTTGCACGTGCGAATTTGCAGGACCTGCAGTGGGGCAAAAATCATGCGTTCTCCCAAGCCATCCGAATACATGAGGACGAGACACACAATATTCTGCCATTCACTGCAACAGCACGGCGACGGTCGGGAGCTGCCCCGCACCTTCTTGGGCACCTCTGCCACGTCAGCGTCCGCGTTGTACGCCTTGGGCGTGGAGGCCAGCGCCGCGACAGCCCCCTGCGCGCGACACAAGGTGTTGGCGAGATTCCGGGCAGGTGAGCGGACAGAGGGGCCGGCAAGACGGGCAGGCATCCGAGGAGGGTAGGGCAATATGCTCTTTGCATGGCGCGTGAGCCGACGGAGCCGGCGCCGACTGGGCGGGTGGTGCCGCCGTCGACGACGGCGGTGCCGCGAATGACAAGGCGGACGCCAGCGGGACGCCGTCGCCCGCGATCACCCCCTCACCTGCCGCGACTTGTCGTACTTGGGTGTGTCAGGCTTGCCGCGCGGCTTCCCGCTGTCGCCGGCCTGCGTCCGCCCCTCCAGCTGCCGCAGCCGCGCCTCGACCTGCCGGGCGGCCGCAACGTCAGGTCGTAGGTGATAATTTTGTCGTGCAGGCCGAGAAAATTCGGACAGGCGAAGAATACCAGAAGTGCCTCGGTCCGCACAAGCAACATGCCCACGATGGGGGCGCGCTGGCAGCGCAGAATGGAAACCCCAGAGGAGCTGCAGGGAAAGTTGGGCGGGCCGCCTCACCTTCTCCCGCGCCTCCAGGCCGACTGTGGCGTCAACCGAGTCGCCCAGCGCGTCCACGCGGATCGCGAGGGAGCACTTGGCGGCGAGGACCTGCGCGGTGGGAGGGG